TTTATTCAGATCCTGGATAAAGCCCGCATAATATCTCATCCCTTACTTGGGGATCAATATCTGCGATCACCAATGCACTTTAAGGGAATCTCTGGGAGGGGAGTTTGCTTCTGTGGTTTCTCTCTGTAGGGAAAATGTTATGAGGTAGGGCTGAAGATACTCGCTCGAGCTTGGTTGGAATTGGCATAGCTGATGGAACTATGGGGTTCGCGAAGTAAGTATGGGTTTGTTGGTATATTGGGGGTCCTTACAGTTTGTTTTCCGTCCCCGTGAGAAGTGACCCCTATTGATTCTAGAAGGCGCTTGGAGGTAAACACACACGGATGCAGTGGGGTGTCTGGGAACTATCACAAAGATTGTGGGTCAATGTTTGGGCATAAAAGTACTATCGGTGGAAAGCTATAACGTGATTTACGGGGAAACCGATCATGACCGGGAAGCCGATCACTCATAGCAACCAATGGAAAATCAACTTTTATGGTATTATCTCAACAAATATTAGAGGTACAACTTTGCAACTTTGTGAGCAGGTACTCTTAAATATGGAGAATCAGAATATGTAATTATTAATGCATAATTGAAAGTCATTGCTTTTTTCTCATACTTTTAAGATTGTTTACCCTAAACCAGCACCCCCTACTTAAAATAATGTCAGAATCAAAACATGTATACTTAGTGCTTTTGTGACTCACTCTGGTACTTCCATAGGTCATATATATCTAGTAATATGTGTTTTTACCTTGATTGATAGCAATTCTTGGAAGTTATAGGACTAAATAAAGACCAGAAAAATTATAACAAAATAGATACAAACTTGAGCAATTTAACTACATGATACCTACTTACACAGTTGATGTATGACTTTAATTCTTTATAATTAGCTTTTCTAACATAATTAAAGTAGATGTGAGGTGTCTTAGGCTGCAGTTGCAAGTTTCATACATTTTATATGTCAATTATAATTGGAGATAGAAGTAGGATTTGTAACATCAAAACTTTACTAATTATGTGAGAAATAAAAATCCAGGATGAATATAATGCTTTAGATAGTTTAACAGCATCAGAAGGATACTCAATATGACTTTTGACTTAATTTACAGGGAATGGCCTACTGCACTGAGATTTATAAGAGGTATGTTAAAGTTACTTAATACTTATTTTCTATCTTAATCTATTAAACCACCAAGTTTGTAGTACTATAGAATAAGTATGTTACTCATTCCTAATGCTAGAGAGTAAGTAAGACTGATTTCAGAAGGCACAGTAGTTTTTTTTTCTAATAATTCAAACATTTACTAAATATTTGTATTTAGTTTTAGACTCTCAACTAGACTCCAAGTATAGAACATATAAAAGTTTAAACTAAAACCTGAAACTCTATACACCTGCACTCAGGATATTAATAAAGCTAACTGCTAAGAATTAAACCCATAGATCAGCTGTGTAAGTAGATATCATGTAGTCAAATTGCTTAATTTTGTATGTATTTTATTATAATTTTTCTGGTCATTATTTAGTCCTATAACTTCCAAGAATTGCTATCAATCAAGGTAAAAACACATATTACTAGATATATATGACCTATGGAAGTACTAGAGTGAGTCACAAAAGCACTAAGTATACATGTTTTGATTCTGACATTATTTTAAGTAGGGGGTGCTGGTTTAGGGTAAACAATCTTAAAAGTATGAGAAAAAAGCAATGACTTTCAATTATGCATTAATAATTACATATTCTGATTCTCCATATTTAAGAGTACCTGCTCACAAAGTTGCAAAGTTGTACCTCTAATATTTGTTGAGATAATACCATAAAAGTTGATTTTCCATTGGTTGCTATGAGTGATCGGCTTCCCGGTCATGATCGGTTTCCCCGTAAATCACGTAAAGTTAGTGCCGTGGGGCTCTTACCAGTATATCTTTCATTTGTGATAAGAAATTGCCGAGATTATCCTTATTTCTTTCCTTTGTTTTGCGATGGAGGGTTAGACAAAAGGAGAGTCTTTTGTGGTGGACGCGACACCGTATTGGAACTTGGGAAATTTATGCTTGGGGTGATGAGCGAAAGAAGTTATATAATAAGCAACCACGAATATTCACACCCTCTGATTCGAACAGATCATTTCATTTCGTTCACTCTTGCCCACTGCGCACACTTAAGATTATTAACTCACCTCGCTCCGGGAAGGTGACTTACTTGCCTAGATCGGCAAGTCCAGTCTCCTGCCCAGCTTCGCCGGAGTAGGCGGCGGCCATGTCATATCACCTGGTTGCCCATACAGCACGAAACCACTCTCCCCCACTCCGCAATTCCCAATCCCAATATTAGATCACTGAACAGATACTAGCACTAAAGCACAACTTACTCCAAGTGCAATGCCGGTACGTAGATCTAGGGTCAAGTCTGCCCAACTCCAACCTCCACCATCGTTCCAATAAACTGAAGCACCCGTCAACTGATAAAGAGTCGGCAATTTTGGCTTGGCTTAGCGTCCAAAACCTAAAAAGGAGATAGTGAAAGAACATTAAGAAACGTCTGAAAATAATAATAATGCCGGTATCAAGAGAGTACCAGTAGAAAATAAGCCACTTTACCCGCCAGTTTTCAGTCCAAATGAGCCAAAGGCATCAATAATGTTGCCATTCCTGTTTTAACACCAAGCCGTGCATTCCTGGCTAGAAAACTTACTATCCTACGCCAATTGATGAGTTAATTGATAAGCAGATTTAGGATAATGAACCCCACCCCACAAGAACTTTTTGTATCCTTCTCGCCAACCATGGCTACGTTGAAAGTTACTCGAAATGAACCGCCACCAAGGTCTCTGGATGAGGGAACGCCTTTCTCTCAGCGGTTGTGGCGTAGGCTGATTTGGATTCGCGACTTTTTCGTTTCTATGCCTTGCTTAAAGAATGCCGTCCAGTTACAAGCCAGCTGTTGTGCTACATATTGCAGGAGGTGTGGCTGTTTAATACCTCCACAGAAGAAGAGAATTATCTGTACCGGGGGTTGTGGGTAAGTCTGTCGAAGTCCCGCTCATTGGCTCCTGGCCGTCTCGACCACTTACAGAGCAGCATTTGCTCCAGCCTTGCTCCAGCCGCTGTGCCAAGAGTTCGACAGACTTTTTTCCTTCACCAAATTGTGAAGGAATCCACCAATTATGTGTTCTTGAAGGCTTCCATACACATACAAACTCGGCCTATGAGAGTAGAGTTCGACAGACTTTTGCGCACACCCTAAGTACTCGTAATGATGCTCTTGGCGACTCTCGCCAAGCCTGGGCTGAATATTCTGGACTGGTGACTGGTGGAGCGCCTGGACAAGAAAGCCAAGGCTCAACTGCGGCATCCTCCGTGATTGTGTGATCGTAGATTCCTAAAATGTGATAGCATAGGCAGGGAGGAACTCGAGTTGATCAGAATTGGTACTCGAGCATCTCCCCAGCGGGGCACCGCACCAGCGAAAGAACAGCGAAGGGTTCCATGATGTGGTATCGAGACTCTCTCTGTTGGATTGATGCCTAAACTCACTAGCGAAGTAGTTATAGTACATCTATTGCGTATTATGAATGCTGAAGAGGGTATGTCTGTGGCACAGAGTTGAGTGGACTCACTACGGCTCATTTTCTTATTCATGGTCTTGTTTGCTTTTAAATGCGACATGGTTGTGTGGGTAGAGACATTATTCTAGAACCGGTCATAACTGTTCGACTACATCGATTATCTATGATAGATATGATATCACACGCAGCACCCCCTTCCACATGCACCCACTGTATTTCACAAACGTAACCGTACGCAATCCCCTCGGGCGATCCGGTACCAGCACAGGTTACCAGATATCTCTTCTAAAGAATACACCCAGTACTTAGAACCTACCAGCTCATGCGGCGCCACGGGCGCTGGTACCTGTACGGAAAACGATACCTAAGTAGGAACCTGAGAAGTAAACTATTATAGTTCGATTTCAGGGGTTCTTATTACCATTCAAATTTCGAACAGTAACCCTCTAATGATTGGGAGATCAGGTTGCAAGTAGGCTTGATACCAAGATCATCTGTGCAGATTTGGTAAAACGGAGTTCCTAGCTCGGAACATCTGCGACTACCATCTCCACATGGATGGGTAGAATATATAGAGTAACGTGACTATGTTCAAGCATCGCCACAGTACAGCACCAGCACAGGTAGGGTCCCGTTGTTGCTCTATCTTATCTTATTACCGGTTTTTTTTTGCTTTGTTTCTGCACCTGCAAAGTTCTTGCACTATGCATGTAATATAGTTCAAATTTAGCCTTCTTTCCCACTCCCCCGCATTCACTTACTTTCTCAGCCCTCTCAGTCTGCCATCTCAGTTCTTTCGCCTCCTCCCTTTCCCATCCCCGTTGTTTTGCCAGGTAGTAGTAGCTGTTCTAGCAGTGATAACCATAAAGATGAAATTGTCCATAGCATTACCGGCTTTACTTGCCCTCGGGGCTATTGCAAAGACACACGTTCCAGCAGTGCACTTAGTGAATGGGGGTCTCGCAAGGAGGCAGCTCTGGAAAGGGAAGGTTTGTAGATTTTTTCAGCAAAAATGTGAGTATCCACCCACTGTACAATCCCCTTGTAATGCTAACAATGTGAAGCGCTACTTGTAAACGAAAATCTGCTCTACATCGACTATACGTACGTAACTATGGCAACAGACTCCGGTGCGCGCCCCCAAAGTATTTTCCTGGGTGCGCATTCATCTTCTGTTAACTTTCTTACCTTTGGAAAACCATAGCTGATGAAGCACATAGTCTGGCCATTCTACTACCATTTGCCCAAACAACGGGAGATTCTTGAATCCCTCTCTACGGGAGGTAATGTGATCACTTCAACTCAGAACACTAAGGACGGGGCCCTGAACGGAACATGGAAAGTCCCACCCATTTTAGGGGGCGCACTCTACTTTGGTGGCCGGCCGGAAGACAAAATAGTCAAGTAAAAACCAACCTTACTCTGTGGCCCCTAAGAAATGCTGCTAACAAGCTCCAGATACGGTGGAACTTACAGTGACTACGGGCTCTTCAATGCGAGCCGCCGCGTTAGCAAGAATGAATGGTGGGCACTAGATAACGACTCCGGGGATTGGGCTACTATTACACCGGGAGGTTCTGAGGGGCTCCTCCGTGCAGACAGTATGGCTTCGGTGAACGTGCCAGCCCAAGGACTTGCCTTTTCTATAGGTGGTTTGGTTACCAATCGGACAGACTCAGCCCATAAAGATTGGAATATCACGGACGGAAATATGTTAGTGCTGAAGAGTATGTTGATATACAATACCCGCAAGCACGAAGTCGAGAACGTGACCATTTCGCCACTACCGGCACAATGGGGAGGTGTTGTTGAGTATGTTCCAATTGGGAAGAAGGGGGTGTTGGTGCTTATTGGGGGGTTCGAGTCGGAAAATGCCATCACTGCAATGACTGGAAATAGGCTGGTTTGTGATGATTCCCCAGATTCCAAACCAGTGCTTACCTTTTGCAGAAAGATATGAAAGAAATCCACCTCTACGACATTCATAAGAGGGAGTGGCACACCCAGATCGCCCAAGGATCAATTCCCAATAACAGAGCTTTCGCCTGCGCCTCTGTTGCCTCTGCTCCGTTATCCCCCCTCCATTCTCTCGCCACCCACCCCTTCCATGTCCCTAGAATTGCTAACACCCCCTTAGCGACAATTCCTCCTACAACATTTTCGTCCATGGGGGTACCGACGGCAGCCCCACCAGCTATAGCGATACATATGTTCTCTCCCTCCCCTCATTCGAATGGATCAAAGCCGACTCTGGCTCTGACACGCAAAGCCGCCTAGGACATAACTGCCACATGACCACCAGGCACAAAATACTTATAATCGGCGGGCGTGGCCGAGACCAAGAGATACCCATCGCGGGGAATTGGGGGTGGGGCGCATGCGACAAGTACTCTATGATTAATGTGTTCGATACGAACACCATGAGCTGGCAGGATTTCTGGGATCCGAACGACGGGAGCACTAAGTTTAAAGTTAATAAAGTGATTACAACAGTAATTGGGGGGAAGTATGCATTACCTTTGCCTCTTTTATTACACCCCCACCCCCACCCTTATTTCTCCCCTCCATCTAGTTCTTGCCAGCGACTGAGTTTGTATTTCTAGCTGACTAGGGTGGGTGCCGAAGTGAGGATGGTGGTGCGACAGTCGGAAAACCTAAGAGCGGATGGGGGAGTGAAGCTATTAAGATGTTATTCGAGAGCATTGAACCTCTGGATGGCGCCCCCAAGGCCAATTTGACACCGACTGATACGCAAGGGGCACACGGTGACAGAGGCGTTAACCATGCAGTGAGAGGAAAGGTGGGAACAGTAGAGTTGATTTCAATGGTTGTTATTGCTGCTGCGATAGTGGCTTAAATAGGCGAGATGATGGCGAAATATATGATTAGTTGTTATCTTGATTTAGTATCTAATTATGATTTTTCCCCTCTACCTCCCTTTCTCTAACCTTCCTCAGTTATATTCATGATGAGTGATGGAGGTATTGGCAGTTATGATGAGTGAATTATCGCCCCGAAGTATCCTAGTTATACAGGGAAGTATCCAGATCCCTAACGACGGTTTAATGGACCTCCGAGGCCTAGGTGATTTTCCAAATACTCTTACAATCCGTAACGTAAGAGCGGTGTTGTACTATACCCACCGCATCCGCTGCAATCCAACATGGGGACACCCGAGTGATTACTTGTGAGTACAAAATCCACGAGTCAGAGGTCTAGCCCCCGCCCCGGGAGACCTGTGGACAGTATCTCAACCCAGCGAATATATTATTCAACGACCCATGATTGCCCCTCATAATATGATGCCACCTACCCCCTGTTTTTCCTCCGTTAGGGAGCTTAAGTTAAGGTGATTCTTCTATGATGCTTGCAACATAGCCTTCGAAAACCAAGAATCTAGCTCTGGGAGATTACCAAAATCACAAAATAAATAAATAAAGAGCTGTATGATATAAAGACTCCAATAGCATTAGCACTGTTGAACATTTACACTTTGGACTGCTCACCACATAGAACGAAATAGTTCACGGACAAGGGACACAACCACCACAAGCCGTTCTTAGTGGTTTCATGGCTTTCCCTTCAGACACAGTTTGAGGCCGAACCTGTGTATCAATGTCAACCACATCAGACACTGGTTTGTCTTCAAATGAAACGCGATAAGATCTACCATTACCGAAGAACAAGATCCTCGGCCCCCTCACCTTTTCTATCCTGGGCACGAGGGTTCACTATACCCGCGGCTACTCACCTTTCACCTCGGAAGCACCATGGATAAGGGCCGGCAGGATACAGTGGCAAATGAATTGGTTGGAAGGTTCGGCAAGAGGAGGAAACATGTCAAAGAAGAAGGTTCTACTATGGGAAGCATATAAGGAAGCTGGTTCTTCTCTTTATTCTTTTGTTTTCGTTAAGCAGATACTTCAGTCTTCCTCCGTGTCATCTCCTATCTCTTTCATATTCAGTCATTCATTTCTTAGCCTTTCATCTTTTTGAACTTTGTTTTCTCTAAAAATTTACACATCATCGTATTAGTTCGTATCAATAAAAGTCTTCCGTTGTTCGGTCATCGAGGATTGGATCCGCTGTGTCCCCACCCCCTTAGTTATTCAAACAGCACAGGTCTTCGAGGCCCCAGAAGTGGCCTGTACATAGTACGCAAGCCCCAACCAATTCCGAGCGTATTCAGAACTCATTCTGCCAAAACTCGCAGATTTCGATGTGGTTCCTAGAGGGTTTTCCCTACAGATTTCTTGATACCTTTGGAATTGGCAAGTACCCACAAGGAAAAGTGAGCGATGCGCTCTATGCTATGTCGTGTTCGACCACGTATGAGACATGCAGCTGCGGATCGTCGTTTCCACATCCCATCTCGCCCGGCATGTGGTATGATATGATATTAGTATTGGTTTTGTTTCTCGTACCGACTACTACTAGACGCCACGCATCGGGTGCCTGGCTCGGGTAATTTTTCAGTTCCATGCGATTCGGCATTGGGCATAGAGTTTAGGGATTAGTTTTCACCGCCATTCCGGAGAGGCTTCTCCCCTCCTCCTCCTTCACCCTTACTTCGGCTCCCGGACATGACCCGCAGAGGCCGGGAATTTCGGACAAGAATATATAAACATACCCGCACCATTTCCATTAGGACCAAATAAATCCTGGAAGGGAAGACGGCATTACCCCCGAACAGACACTACATACTCCAGAGATAAAACGAGGATAATGGAGGGAGGATGAAATTAAGATACTATTATACTGCGAGGTACCTAGTCCCGTTTAAAGAAATTATGGAAGAGTATCCTCTTGATGCTGTTTTCGCCTGTTTTGTGTTAAGGTTGTTGAGCACCGCAGCGCACTGGGAATATAAAAACGGCGCCAGTCCCCTATGTCCATTCTCAGAAACCTCACACGAGCGGTATCGGGATGTAATTATCCGGTTTCCCGGGGTTAATGGCCTCACGCCCTAGCTGTTCCATAGCATCACTCCCGCACCTCCCTACCCGGCGGCCCCGCGGAAATGAGGTTTGGCCGACCTTGTCTAGTCCACCCCGGCGAAACCTTCCTGTGCCAGTCCCAGATTCGCTGCTTTCATGGCCATTCAAGCAACAACCTAGAACAGTCTTTTGCCCCAGCTGTCTAGTTCGCGAGAGTTGACATATCCACGTTCTAATAATAGCTTCATTGCTCTGCCATACCTGCATTCGGTAGTCTATGAGTGGCGTTCTGTCGTTGTTGCCTGGTTTACCGGGACTGATATCTTCCTCTCCCGGGAGCACCAGGATAGTGCCACTCCCTCATCCTCATCCCCAGCGGTCCACCAGAGTGGGGTACGGCCATTTCCGCCCAGCTCATCGGGGTAGATGCACTTCTACTATAGCAGCAGGCTCACTAACCCTAGCACTATTATATGGTGGCCCAAATGAGGGGCGTAACATCCGCTCTGTCTTGATATAATAAGCTTTGTCTCTATTTTTTTCAGTGAAAACCTCAATAGTTCAGGAAACTGAGGCAAGGTCAAGTCCCGTCAATAGCGAAAGAGCAGAAAATGGAATCCAATGTTGAAATTGATCCAAAAGTGATATCGGATCACGACACCCACCAGGGGCTTTAGCACCAGCGATTTCTCAAAATTTGAGTTCCATTCCTGCGTGGGTTCCCCAATATATGGAAGAACATCTGAGAAAAGGTGTCCCAGAATCTGGGGTAACGAGCGGTTGGAGCGTCCCTTACTTTCCCAAACCTGCTCCTTATTTGCAGCGAAATAAAGGTACTCGAGTAGTGGTAGGGTGCGGTAAAAATTTGCCCCCTAGCTAGACTTCAAGTCGTGAATCTGTAGAAATACAGAAGGGGGCGAGAGCGGCCGTCCGGTAAACAGGACCATTTGAAGCAATTACGACGGCAGGACATAGACCAGTTCTTGGAGGAGGAATATGTCCTCTTGGAGCATCTCTATACCACTTCTCGCTATAAATGCCGAAGTTGGTTATCTCGCAGATCCACCTATTACAAAAAATAACCCCAGATTAGGATCCAGAATCTCACCAACACCCCCGAAAGGCGGAATACCACCGACCGATTCGTTAGTAGCAACATCTTCCCACCTAATCGTTCCCAAGACTCCCCCTCTTCCCCACCGGATCAAAAACCCCAACCCCGACTGGGGCTAGACCGGGCCCGCCACCCGCTACTTCCGATATCGGCCCCACCAAATTCGCTACGTCTCCCACAGATCCCAGAGAATACCCCAATAATATCTCCTCTCTTGCTCGGGGATCAATATCTGCCATCCCTGTAGGCGTGGGGGTGTGAAGGGAGGAATGTTCTTGTGTTTGCTAGCTACAAGGGGAAACCACTTAGGGTAGAAACACATAACTGCCACACTTCACCCATGCCCCACATGCCTCTAACCCAGTACCCTCATCACTGCGAGGATAACCTCTAGTACTATCACACCATCAGCCAACAATCCCTAGGGTACTCTAGGGGAATCTCGGGGGGAGGGGGGTTCTCTTCTGTGGTTTCTCTCTGTGGGTTCTTTATGTGGGGAAAACAGTGCGAGGGGGCGTTGAAGATGCTCGCTCGAGTTTGGTTGCGATTGGCATAGTCGAAGAGACTACCGGGTCCGCGAAATTAGTATGGGTTTGTTGGTCGAATGGAGGCTCCTACAGTTTGTCTTCCGTCCCCGTGAGGGGTGGTCCCTATTTATTCTAGAAGGCGCTTGGAGGAAAACATGCACGGATGTGGTGAAGTGCACTGAGGTGTCAGGGAACTAAATTTATGATGATCAATGCTTGGGCATAATAGTGTTCTCGATGGAAAGCTATAGTGCCTGGGCATTCTTACCAGTATATCTTTCATTTGTGACAGGAGACTGCCGAGAATATTCCTTTCATTACTTTTCTCTGCTTTGTAATTGAGGGTTAGAGAAAAGGAGGGTCTCGTGCAGCGGAAGGGAGACCGTGTTGGAATTTGGTAAATTTAAATTTGCGTTTGGGGTGATGAGCGAAAGAAGTTATAAGCAACCACGAATATTCACACCCTCTGATTCGAACAGATCATTTCATTTCGTTCACTCTTGCCCACTGCGCACACTTAAGATTATTAACTCACCTCGCTCCGGGAAGGTGACTTACTTGCCTAGATCGGCAAGTCCAGTCTCCTGCCCAGCTTCGCCGGAGTAGGCGGCGGCCATGTCATATAACCTAGTTGCCCATACAGCACGAAACCACTCTCCCCCACTCCGCAATTCCCAATCCCAATATTAGATCACTGAACAGATACTAGCACTAAAGCACAACTTACTCCAAGTGCAATGCTGGTACGGTAGATCTAGGGTCAAGTCTGCCCAACTCCAACCTCCACCATCGTCCCAGTAAACTGAAGCACCCGTCAACTGATAAAGAGTCGGCAATTTTGGCTTGGATTAGCATCCAAAACCTAAAAAGGAGATAGTGAAAGAACATTAAGAAACGTCTGAAAATAATAATAATAATAATGCCCAGTGTTCCCAACGGGCTAGGCCACCGATAGGCCGTAGGCTAGGCCAAGGCAGGCCGTTCTAACGACGAACCTAAGCGGATACAAGCTGAACTCAGCCGGCCTTCGGAAGCCTACCAGGCCTGAATGTGGGATTTTTGGAGCTGATTGTTCTAAGAGTGGCTCGATTCCTTACAACTTTCCTTGTAGTTTATTATTTTATCTATATCCTCAGTTATTCATTGAAGTATGATAACTACACGATTGCCGGTCCACAGCCAGCTCAACAAAGTACAGGAAATCTACCTCCAGATTCTCCAACGCAGTCCAATCTCACAGTCCTTCCTTCCTATTCAGTTTCTCCCGCAGTAGTTCCAT